AGGAGTTGGTTTCGGTAACATTCATTTATTTATTATAGCTATGATGCCATTGATGAATGCGGTCTATGGGTTAAGGGGGTTAAAACACGGCCCCTCGATCCCGGGGGTCAGGGTTCAAGTCCCACCATTTACCAAAAAGCTTTAGATATGTTTTAACACCATTATCCGATGATTCGTGACCAACCTCAATCTGTAGGTCCACATATTTTAAGTAATGGATAACATGACAAGAAATTTCTTTTTATGTTATATTTATTTTGTAATTTTCTGTACTGTAGTTCATGTTACGTTTTATAACTTTAATGGTCTTATTTACATATGTAGATAAACGTTTATTTAATTATTTAATCTTTAATTAAACAGTTGTCCTTATTTCTTTTTAATTTTTATACATTGTATGATTTTTTCAGTTCTTCAGTACGTCGTATAGATTGATATGGTTTTCTAAACACGTAAAATGAGGTACCTAAATCTTCGTTCACAATTTGTATAGGTTATAATATTTTGTTGTATTAAGAAATGTTATTATTTGTTGATTGTTGTTTGTGTAATCTGTAAGCTGTATTGAATAAAGATATTTTGAAATTTACAATTTAAAATTTAATTTCAGATCTCCCTCTACTGAAAGCCATATGATACCAATTATCATAATTACATCATTGAATACATATAACCTTGAGACTTTCATGGTTTGGTTTTATATGTTGGTAGAATATACTATAATACCTGGATTACCTTCTACGAAACAGTAAGCGAATTATGTTCGGGGTCTAACAATAAAGAGTGGCGTCATTAATTGACGAGAGAAAATTTTGAAACTCGAAAACATGCTTATTGCTCAACTCATAGACAAAATGTTTAGCCAAGTCAATGAATTAAGCTACACAAGAAGGAGTAAAATAATGTCATAGACTAAGCTTATATAAAGTAGCATTTAACCTATACTTAACCTATACTATAGGTTTGTACCCATGTGGCCCCGCGGTACCAGGTTGCGCTTGTGCCAGGCGCAAGGATCGTTCCATAAACTGAGTAGCTCGTCGATACAGCCGGGCTTCATGGGTAACGGAATGAGTTTGATTTATGTCGTGTTTCATGCCTCTTGTTGGACATTTTTGTAAACCCACGTATGTTTTTGAATTAATTGTGTACATGAAATTTAAATGTTATAATCCGAAACACAACCAACGAATACTGTTTGTTTGGTTTCACAGTTTAAATTCATTAAAATGTTTAATAGGGATTTTTACAATATAGGATTATTATTACAACGATTTTTGGATAATGTGCACCATCTACAAAAAGAGGAAATAATATTATACCAATCCTTTTGTAATCTTGATTTGTATAATCGGAATGATGCAAACAAATCCAAAATACACATTAAAGAACATTAACTACATACCACATAAACCGCAGGATACATCTTGCACAAGAAATCGCAGTATAAGTACATTCTACAGAGAAACAAAGACACCACAGTATATCTTTACATTCCATACAAGAAAGAAGTGTACATCATAATACATAAGAAAATAAAGTTACATTCTGAGCAATAAACCACAGTTTGAATTTTGCATAAGAGACCGCTATACACGTGCACATTCTACACAAGAAACTTATTAATACATTATGCACAAGAAACCACAGTTTGAATTTTGCACATGAGACCGTTATAAACGTGCACATTCTACACAAGAAACTTGAGTATACTTTCTGCACAAGAAACCACAGTTTGAATTTTGCACATGAGACCGTTATAAACGTGCACATTCTACACAAGAAACTTGAGTATACTTTCTGCACAAGAAACCACAGTTTGAATTTTGCACATGAGACCGTTATAAACGTGCACATTCTACACAAGAAACTTGAGTATACTTTCTGCACAAGAAACCACAGTTTATATTTTGCACAAGAGACCGTTATACACGTGCACAAATTACATATAAAACTGCAGTGTACAATCCATACAAGAAATCACTGTATATACTCTGAATAGATTAAAAATAAAACCGTAGTATACATTTGCATATTCTACAGAAGGATCTTCTTATTTATCTGCACACATCTACATAAGAAACCGCATTATACACGTGCATATTTTACACATAACCGCACTATGAATCAGCACATATTACATGTAAACACATTGAACGTATTTCATTTTTCAAGTAGTATTCCACTGAAAGTGTCTTACCTCGTGACAGTCGTACATCAAATGGACGCAACCATTGCCTCATTCGCTAAGCCGGTTACACAAATAAAGGTTAGGTCTGACTTATAGATGACAAGATGGTGAAAGCTTCACGATTTGCATCGACGCAATAATGTCCAGAAACTGAGTGAGATGATTAAAAAGTAATCTTGAACTAATACACAATTTATACTGATACAAAACAACGTTTTTAAAGTTAATTGTAAGGCCTCTTTTATGCACGGCGTTTTCCGTCGGGCGGAATCTATCAGAATCTATCGGGCTTTCCGTCGGTGAGTGTTTTAACATGGGATCATATGGGACCCTTTTATGCACGACGGAATCTCCGTCGCGTTTCAGAATTCCGTCGGAGGCCGACGGAGGACTTAGACTCCGCCGAGTTTCGGCGTTTCGTGGAGCGTGTTTTTACATAGGTTCAAATGGAACCCTTTTATGCAACTGCGTTTTCCGTCGGGCGGAATGTAGTGCTGCCAACCTACCCCACGCTCTGTCATCCACAGTATTGAAATTACCTACGGTAATCATTGGAAATAGAATATCATTATTCATTGTAATTTATTGAAGAGTACAAATAAAGTGATGTAATTAGGGGAAAAATTACTGCATGAGAATTAATTACATTTTTGTTTAAATCCGCGGAATAATACAAACTTACTGTTTCGTAGGAACTTCTCAAACTTTTCCCATCATTTCGCAGCAACCCATATAGGTTTGTGAAAGCCCCATCCACCCAACGACTTTCATTAACCGGGTGTACTAGCCACGTACAGCCCATATCCTTCGCCGTCGTCTATTTCTATTCATGTACAATTAAGTATACACCAATACACAAGGATCATTCTTGGGTCACTGACGATGGCAAAATGAACGAAGTTGGTAGCACTGACCACCCCCACCACGGGCATCAGCGGATTCCGCTCGGCGGAGAAACTGCATAAAAGGGACATCGATTCCGCCCGACGATTTCGCCCGACCGAAAACGCCGTGCATAAAAGAGGCCTTAGGGATAAGTTTTTAAATTTTTGTTCATGGACTACGTTAAGTTTAACTACCACCCGCAACGTAGTGTAGTGTTAACACTTAGCGTAGGAAGAGTCACTAAAATTAAATACAAAGTTATTTATATTCAAACATTTTACTACAATAATAGTTATTTCATGCAATAAATTAATGCTAATTTTCCACAGGGCATGGGACTTTAAAAGTGTTATAAAGGTTCAAAATGAAAAAGGGATGGGAAATTGAACACATTTCGTAGCTGCACCTCGGAACTGGGCACGGTGAGGGTTGAGTTAAAGTATGCAGGTTGTATTGAACGTTGTCATATTTACGTAACTGAGGTACAACCCTATTCCAGACAGAGCTGTGACGTCAGCATTTCCCTCCCCCACCTCTCTCCCGGACAGGTAGTTAGTTCACTACACCCACACTTTATGTTATTACTTACTAGCAAAGTACCTGTCCTTCGTACGGGGTTGACGTAAATTAATTGTGCTTGTTGACGTTGTGTCGTTTACAAGTGAGAGAATACTTGGAAGAGAACAGTTTGATTATTTTGATTTACTGTATAACACATATGCTATTTTTTTTATATATTTTGTAGAAACAAATTTTGATTAGCTTAGTTTTTTTATATTATCTTCAAGTTAAGGTGTAACAACATAGACTACTCAGTACAATGTTCAAGTTGCACTGATGTACGTATAAAAAAATCTAACTCTATGTGATTAAAAAGATACACTGATTAAAACGTGTTTCTACTAAACAGTAACTATTTTGAAGTCAATAGTTAAAGTAATAAAAGTAATACAACTCTTTCACTTCAAACACAAAAACTATATATAGAAGTAATAAAAGGGTTATTAATAAAATGAGATACAAGTTCAGTTAAAATTATAATGATTATTTTGATGCCACAACTCATGATTTGGTGTCTTTTCACGTCGTTGAGACACGAATCACGTTCATAGTAAATGGCTTGAATGATTCCGTGATAAAAAATAATGATAAAGACGTTGCCGTGATCGCTCGAGCTCGAGATAACCAGGACGTTTCCATGATCACGGGAAATTACCACGACGTTGCAGTGATCGCGGGAGATGCCAACGATCGCGACGTTGCCCTGATTGCAGGAGATAACCACGACGTTTCCATGATCGGTTGAGATAACCACGACGTTTCCATTATTGCTTGAGATAACGACGACGTTTCCATGATCGCTTGAGATAACCACGATGTTTCCATGATCGGTTGAGATAACCACGACGTTTCCATGATCGCTTGAGATAACCACGACGTTTCCATGATCGCTTGAGATAACCACGACGTTTCCATGATCGCTTGAGATAACCACGACGTTTCCATGATCGCTTGAGATAACCACGACGTTTCCATGATCGCTTGAGATAACCACGACGTTCCCACGATCGCGGGAGATTTCCAAGATCGCAGGCACGGGCTGTTCTTTAGTCCCCAAATCTCCTATTCAAATACTGTAAAGACTTTTTCTAGAAATAAGGATCGTGGTAAGACCAAAGATATTTTACCTTCCCTTATTCATTCACGTTCATCTACAAACGTTTCCAACAATCAACTTACGACCCTTACAACGATCGCGGGGGTCGTAACCATTGACAGGGCAACGCTCTTGAGAGTGGACGAGGCGTGGGTAGCCGTTACGTCACAGAGAGACGCGTCGCCATGGCAACCGTGATGACGTAGCGTGACGTCACGGCCCAGCGCCCCCCGCTCCGCGCAACGCTGCTGGTCGCTCAGCGCTCACTCACACTCGCTAAGTGACTCCGGCACTGAGCGCCTCTCCGCGCCGTCACGACCTCGACCTATCGCGACTTTTCTATTTTTGTACTTTTATACTCGTTCATTTCTACACCGTTTGTTTTTGTACGTAATTTTAGTCTAAGTTGAACCACCTGTGAGGAGTTCCGCTACTGAAGGTGAGTTTATTTTTTGTTTTCGGAGTAAATATTTTTTTCAAAAGTACAATATGTATGTTTTAGTAAAGTAGTGTACACATCGGCGTTAGTCATACTTGAAATTTTAAGAAATTTTAAGATTTTTTTAAAAATAACTCCCGCAGGTGTAATTGTCAACAATGGATCAACAATTAACTAATTTTTACTCAATAATGCATACTCTCAACAATGCGTGTACCTATGATGCCGTTGCATACTTCAATAAACATGTGTTTATTTCATGGTATAGGGACATTGAAATATTTATAAAAATGTTTGAAGGTTTTTGTCTTGTTTATTCTGCGTTACTGTTTGGTTGTGCGTGTGTTGGACGGATGTTGTGTATACTCAAAAAGGGTTGAGTCATTAAATTTTTCAGTTCAATTTGTATATTGGTGAATACACACCGAAGTAAATTACAATGTAAAGAAAGGCGATTATCTACAACCGACAAATACTCGACCAATGAATGAAGATATCGTATACAATAACATTCTAGAGCTGACAAATAGTTTGACAGTTGAACCCTGATACCGCTTGTCATTATTTACTTTTCTTCGTCGTTGTTGTTGTTGTTGTTGTTGTTATTGTTCAACAGTAGATAATCAAGTGGCACTTTGGATTTTCCTTGTTTAAAGTGTTCCAATTGACTTGTAATTTACACCAAGGAAAATTCTACGAAGGTTTGTGACGTATGTATCTAAGAGGAAATTTTACTTTGAGGTTAAAAGGTTTTCTAATGGCTCTAATAGTTAAGAAGATTCTTTTAAACAACAAACAACTGTTTTTAGTGTTTCAAGTTGTTTTCTTAAGCAAGCGTTTATCTTGAAATACGTGAAACCGTTCGATTTAACTGCTTTTAATACACAATGATGCTTTCCGACAAAAACAAAATAACGATACCAACGATTTTACAATAATTAACAAAAGTGATGTAAACATTTTAGTTTCAAACCGAGTATTGTTCTTAATGTCAGAAGCTATAGTAAAATTGGAATCATGAATGGGTAAACGACTCACTAACATTACAGTTGTATAGGTTATAAGTTAAAGTTTTAATTCTTGTATACTATCAAAAACTATAAATAATACGTACTGACGCTACAATGATTAATTGTATGTGGGTTTGACGAATTTTGAATTTTGTGTTCTTGTTTGTGTAAGGTACCTACACAAGCCCCTTAATTATTTCTAACGTCAACCTTAATTAATTGTAACTGACAGCCCAACATAAATGTCATCTGAGTCCAGAATCGAACCAGGAAACTATTACATTTGTTGGTGACCACTTTATTTCCCAAAATGTATCTAAAACCAAAAGTACAAAGCATACTTTGATGCAAAATTTTCTTATCAAAGGCACTAACAAATCGTTGACAAACATTTTACAAGCCGAGCATTATAAAGGCGAGGGTGCCAATCGATAGTCGTGCGTGAGACCGCCTACCCAACTACCCTACCCAACCTACCCACTACCCAACCTACCCTCTGGCACAGTCCGTCGAGGCGCTGTGACGGGTAGCTACCCCTAGCTGAAAGGGTAAGCGTCGCCCTTAGCTAGCCTGTAGCGATAGACACACACCACGAAAACATACAGAACACCCTCAATAATTGAAATAAAAATCACGAACATTTTAGTTTTATTGTGTTATTGGATTGAATACACAAAACTTTCTACTTTTCTTCTTTTGATTATTCGTTAAAGGTAACCTATATCGTTCGTTTGGTAACGATATACAAAATTATTACACTCAAATCATACAACAAGATCACCTTCAAATACCGAAATATATTTTTATCCACAACCATTTGAGTTTAATTGTTTTGTGAGGTTAAATACACGAATATAATTTTCGACTTTATTTATTTTTTTTATTAATTATTCGTGAAAAATATATTACAAAAACTTTACCATTACTGATTTAATTCGAGTAGTAAAAATTCATTAAGGTTAGGCCTACTATTTGTATTTTGGGGTTCAAGGACTAACATTGACATTATTTGTAAGGTAAACTCATAAAAATACTAAGTAGTTTTGCATTTTTAGTATTTTTATGAAAATCTAAAAATAGCTCGGAATGTTTTTGTTGGGTGGGGGTGTCAGTGAGGAGATCAGCTGTTTCCCAGACCAACGCCCTTAGCTCCATCAGCTGTTCGCAGCTCAGCAAACAAGTATTATTTTACTTACATACACTTATAAACATTAATTATAGTTATTATAATTAGTTACAGTATATTGTTGATATTAGTTACATGTATAGTGAATGAATATAGGTTTTTATGAATAGTTTTAAGGTATTGTTTTGCACTTAGCGGTAACCATATGGAAGTAAATAATGTAGCAACTAATTTTATCTTTTGCATGAACACTTATTATTACTTTTATACTAATCTATAATTGTAATTGGACATTGTTTTAGTAGGCCTATATGTCGATTGTGTTGTTATCTTGTGTTTTTGTAGGTTATTTTATTCATTAAAGCTATTCCTCCTATTTTTTTTACTGGAAGTACAATATGTCGATTATTTATAATTACGTATATTTTGTCTTTTGTTTAATGCAAATATGAACAGAATATTACTTTATTAACATTTTATCTTTTTTGATTATATTTCAAGTATCTAAGGCTTGCAGTCATTTCACTGTTACCTGTCATATTTCGTTATACAGTACTAGATGTGGCTATCATTAGATTGATAAGTATTTTTAGTTATCTTAATTTGTAAATGTTTTGTATTCTCTGTATCCATTAAGCATTTCAGTTGAGTTTTTCGTGTTTAAGTGCTATACTATTGTAATAAATTGAGCTACGGGTGTAGGTAACTTTGGTTTAAGTTTAATTAATATTTACTTGTCAAATTTATTTCTGAAAAAGTTTGTTTAGTAAATTTTCACCACGTTAAAACCGGAGGAGCCGTAAAATCAGTGTTCGATTATCGCACCACACAGAGGTCGAATGCTGCCCAACTGTCGATCAATCGATCGATGATAAAAACAATATAATCTCAATACAGTATATACTTTAAACTGGCGTTAAATTCTGAGAAAATAACTCGAAAACGAATATTACAGCGTCAATTGCAGTGGAATTGATGGGCACGACCTGGAAAACCATACCTAAATTAATTTTTTTATTACGTACGATAGTTAACTTTTTCAGCCAGGTTGAGGGAGGCGTGCAATATTACTAACTCGTCCGGCCAAGCACTAACTCTCTCTACCCTTAACTCGTACGGCCAAGCTCTGACCCTTTCTACCCTTAACTCGCCAGCCAAGGACTAGCCCTTTCTACCCTTAACTCGTACGGCCAAGCACTAGCCCTTTCTAACCTTAACTCGTCCAGCCAAGCACTAACCCTCTCTATCCTTAACTCGTCCGGCCAAGCACTAACCCTTTCTATCCTTAACTCGTCCAGCCAAGCACTAACCCTTTCTATCCTTAACTCGTCCAGCCAAGCACTAACCCTTTCTACCCTTAACTCGTCCGGCTAAGCACTAACCCTCTCTACCCTTAACTCGTCCAGCCAAGAACTAGCCCTTTCTACCCTTAACTCGTCCGGCCAAGCACTAACCCTCTCTACCCTTAACTCGTCCAGCCAAGAACTAGCCCTTTCTACCCTTAACTCGTCCGGCCAAGCACTAACCCTCTCTACCCTTAACTCGTCCAGCCAAGAACTAGCCCTTTCTACCCTTAACTCGTCCGGCCAAGCACTAACCCTCTCTACCCTTAACTCGTCCAGCCAAGAACTAGCCCTTTCTACCCTTAACTCGTCCGGCCAAGCACTAACCCTCTCTACCCTTAACTCGTCCAGCCAAGAACTAGCCCTTTCTACCCTTAACTCGTCCGGCTAAGCACTAACCCTCTCTACCCTTAACTCGTCCAGCCAAGAACTAGCCCTTTCTACCCTTAACTCGTCCGGCCAAGCACTAACCCTCTCTACCCTTAACTCGTCCAGCCAAGAACTAGCCCTTTCTACCCTTAACTCGTCCAGCCAAGCACTAACCCTCTCTACCCTTAACTCGTCCAGCCAAGAACTAGCCCTTTCTACCCTTAACTCGTCCGGCCAAGCACTAACCCTCTCTACCCTTAACTCGTCCGGCCAGGCACTAACCCTTTCTACCCTTAATCTAACGTAACGCATGATTAAGAACTTTGATTTTTAAAGATACAAGGTTTTTTTTCCATTTCACCCTCGTATACTCGTATAAAACAGATACTCGTAACTGTTTAAACATAAGGTCATTTTCGTTTTCAACCTTATTTAAACATTTGTCCAGTTCGTTCATTCATCTTCAAGCATAACCCACTGTTCAATTCTCTACCTGTTTAAACTGTCCATTCTGATTTAATTTCGAAATTTTGTTCCCATCGGAACGAAGGGTTTGTGTAACCCTTCAAGAATCCGAGGCCAAATTCCACGCTATCGATGTTTTATCTCATCCTTGGATCTAGTGATAACCACATCAGCTGATATCACGGAATGGATGATCTCAGATGGTGTCGCATTGTTGGTGAGTCAGCTGACTGAAATAGCGGGCAGAAATAGACTCACCCGCGCATCTCGCAATGGAACACCACTGACCGCTGTCCGAAGATACCGACAGTGGTCGGTTAACATAGGGAGGGTCAAAACAATCATTTTTTACTATTTTAATTTTTCAGTTAAAATTTCTCCAAATCGTGACCTTGTTCTTAGTGCCATATGCTAGAATATAAAATATTACCTTCGCAAAACTGTTTTCTAGCTTTTCGTGGATTTTTGTATATTAATTCTATCACTAGGGCGTAAAGTGACTCTTTTCGACTCTAGCTTGCCGAGGGCGGAAAATAAGTTAGGTTCAAAATAATTTTAGCCCGCGTGGTGAACTTTTTTCGTCATACAAACTTTAGTTATTCGAGAAAACAACATAACAAAACGAAATTACTCTTCGAGTAAAGATCATCTCTCAAAACGACTTCTAACTCCCTTTAATTTTGCTAC